AACAGGGACTCCCCCAGCACCTGCTGATTTCCCCCCGCCCATGCCCCCTGCCCCACCTGCACTACTGCCAGTTCTGCACCTTGCTGTCCTGCATGTATCTTTGTTTCCACCGGCCCTGGCAGCGTAGTCTCAAGCCCAGCGCCCTCCGTGCCAGGCGCGCCCATGCTTTGTGCCGCTCAGCATAGAGCTGGAGACGGGGGTCCCTGCTGGCTGGGACCTGTATAGTACCTGGCTTTTTAAGGGGGGAAAGAGAGGGAGAAACAAGCAGAGATTAGGCCTCTCCCCTTCCCCGTCCCCCCCTACCCCCGCCCCTTCTCCAAAGGATACTGCAGCTTTCTCTGGTTTTTCTGTCCGTGCGCTAGGGTCTGTCTTCTACGAAACTAAAAAGGAATTAAAAAAAGAAATAATAATAATAATACTAAGAGAGCGCGACCTGGTGTTTGTACATAGTCCTTTAGCGAGATCTTGTTTTGCTCTTTGTCACCGGACCCCGTCCGCGGGGGAGCTGGAGACTCCGTGTTGAGGATGTACTAGCTGTGCCTTTCAAATAAAGAAATACGAAGGTTGGTAAAGCCCGCGGCTCCAAGCTTTTTCTTTGGGGAGGGTCAGGGTTGGGTGCCTCAGTTTCCGCTTCTGGGCCGTGTCCCTGCCCTTGATGGAGCCCACCCATCTGGCCTGCCCCGGGGGAGCTGTGTGTCCTGGAGACCCTGATGGGGTGGCTCTAAGGCTGGGGTGTTTACAGCTAACCCCATTGGCTCGGGGGTCCTCACTCCCTCCGGCCCTTTTGCAAGGCTCAGCCTCCAGGCTCACTGGGATGTCCCCTGCCATCCCCCACCACCCATTCCCATGTTGCCTATGCCAGCCCCTGCTGCCCCCCTAAGGGAAGCCATCTCCTGGCATCCCTCTGGCACCAGGGCCCTTGCCTCAGTCGTCCCGCAGCAAAGGAAAGGACTGAAGTGGGGACAGTAGAACGAAGGCCCGGTTCTCCGGACACTTGCTGTGCTGCCTCGGTGTCCCGGGCACAGGCTGATGGATAAGGATGCTAGCCTGGTGAGACCTCAAGCCTGACTCCCTCCCACAGAGGGGCTGGGTAGCAGCTGTTCCTGGGCTGATCTGAGAATTGGTCCCGTGTTGCCCAGGGGCTGGGACGGCGCTCATGCAATCAGGTCTTCAGCAGGGTCCAGAGCCCAGCATCTCTGCTCTCAGTATCTTCCAGCCCTGATGGAGCAGCGATGTTTCCACCCCTGGCAGGGCCCAGCAGCGCAGGGGACCAGGCTGGGGCTTGGCAGAGCTGCCCGCAGGCTGTGGGGACCCATGAGCTGCCAGCACCTGCGAACCCGCCGCGCGTGCCAGGCTCATCCCCGGCTAAGAGGATCGGATTTGTTTCTCCTGGAGCATCATCCTGCCACAGGTGCTGGCTCCGGGCTCGGTGCATGCAGTGGGGGCTGGAGAGGAGGCAGGCCCAGGCACGAGCAATGTTGGCTCCTAAAGGTAGGCTGCCCACTTTAAGGCCCTGGAGCCACGCTCACAGGAGTGGGGTGCAGTGCAGGGGAGGGATAGGGGGATTTCTGTCCCGTAGGCGCCCCCCTCCTGCCATTTCCTAGGGGCCACGTGCCCGTTGTGTGTGTGTGGGTGGAGGGGGAGAAATGGATGGAAAGGACAGGGAAGTGGGACTGATCGCAAACCCACAGGGTCTGAGAGCAGGCATCGTCCCTGGTGCCTGCTCCGCTAGGTCCTACACTCATCCCTGGCCCTGGGTGCAGGATTAGGCCTGGCAGCTCCTTCAGGCTTCCCCCACCCCGCTACACTTTTTCCCTTCAATGGGCACCCGGATGCATTTCCTCTTGCAGGTGCCAGCGGGGTGGTGGTTCTCAGGCTCAAAAGCAGAAGTGGGAGCTGCGTGTTGGCTGCCCCTGTTGTCCTGCTGCAGCCAGGGCTCCAGGCTCCAGCTGCTGCTGTAGCCATGTCTGCTTGCTCAGCACCTCGTCCGGGGGGGGCCGGCTGCGTGCTAAGCCCCGCCGGGCTCCTGCTTCAAATCCAGCCAGGAGGGCCAGGGGTGACGGAAACATCGACACCTGCACCGGGGGGTGTAATGGGTACTGTGTGGTCCCAGCCTGGCTCCCCGCAGGGCAGGGTGCAGTTGGCCTGGCCTGGTGTGCGCTGCAATTAGCAGCCTCAGCATGTTGGTTCGGGGTTGAATGAGCAAGAATGTTGTCCAGCAGCTGCAGGCGGCTGCCGGGGCAGGGAGCACCCGCGTGGCTGGAGCAGCCGTGGGGCGGGGGGGAACGGATCTGCTCGGCAAGGTGCTGCTGCAGGCCGTAACTCCGGTGGGGTCCCAGCCTCATCTTGCTGGTTCCTTGGTGCAATCCCAGTGACAGTCTCTGCAAGCACTGTGCTGCATCGGTGCCCTGAGCCCTTGGGTGCTGCTGGCAATGGAAACTGGGGTGTCCAGGCTGGGTTTTGTGGGCTGGGCTGTCCCATGGCAGGGATGCTGGAGCTGGCGAGATCCGTGGCTGCGGCTGCCGGGGCGGGGGGT